TATACATATACATATACATATATATATCAATGTCCTGTTGTCACACACTGACACACCAAACCTCATTTAAAAAAGGTCAGTTTTAACACCACTTCCGCAATTATCAAGTTTAAACATTCACTACACATCGATGAGAGTTAATAAACCGCGTATTTCAATATCACACACCATTTCGGCACAGCTTTTAAATGAAAGGTGATTTAAAGCAGCAAGTTTATTAAACTTAAGAGAGACGCGTTTAGAACTTGTTTTCCCCGAAAGCTTCTCTTTTAGCCAAGCTATTTTGGCTAACACACACGGCTAAGCTAACCGGCTAAAATGATGATGTCGCGCTTTCTGTACCGTAATAAACTTCAAACTGACCCAGTGGAAACCATCGTTGTTTAAAAGCTCACCTYGTGGATGTAAAGGACTTGCTCTACGGTGGTGCAGCCTGGAAAACCTCGYACCGAAACTCGGACGACCAGTCCTCTGCCACACGGGATCGAATCCCGAACACAGCTATCCTGAACTCGACTATAGGTGGTCTTTAGACCCGCAGAACATGAATTCTCTTTCAAAGTAGAAATTAATATTCTTTCACTAAAGATAAAGCTACAAACACGTCCAGTGTTCTTTTCGCCCGATTGTGTTGAGCAAAACCTACATTACGCTTACATCAGACCGCCATGTTACAGTACAAGCGTGGTGGATTATACCGCCCCCTACAGGCACAACCTGACCTTACAGCAATTCATAACAACAGAACAACAAAACATAACATACAATCTGTATTTTCTACACTTGAAGGAATTATCAGATATTGTTGGTTTAATTTTTTTAAAACAAACAAAAAAAATCACGAAAAAGATAAAAAAAAGTAACTATTAGCTCCTAAAGTGACTAAAACAAAGTGACATAAAGGTTAGAAAAAGGACAAAAAATTGCATTTATGAATTCAATTCACTGTCTTCTGATTTTTAAAAAAATTATATTTATATGCAGATGAAGAGTTTAGTTTCTATCATCTAAATATATAAATAATCTATCAGATAAGCAACTACATGAACATAGAACAAATCACACTCTGAAGTTTTGTACTATAAAGTACAAAAACATTTTTAAAAAGACCATGAACTACCTACATCTCAGGGAGAAAAAAATAGTTTACTCCAGCAGCTTTTCTACAGAAGAGGATTAGGGCCACTGAAAAATAAAAAAAGGAATTCTGACTTTAATCTCAGAATTCTGAGAAAAAAAAGTCAGAATTCTGAGATTAAAGTCAGAATTCTGAGAAAAAAGTCAGAATTCTGAGAWWAAAGTCAGAATTCTGAGAAAAAAGTCAGAATTCTGAGATTAAAGTCAGAATTCTGACTTTAAAGTCAGAATTCCCTTTTTTTAATCTTTCAGTGGCCCTAATCCTCTTTCGTACTTTCCAGATGTAATTCCCCAAAATTTAAATTTAAACATGTCTCAAATTTCCAAGTCACCGACTAAACAGTTAATAAAATCTGTCAGAAACAACACATGACAGATTAGGTTGTTTATGATGATGATGGTGATGATGATGATGATGATGATGGTGGTGGTGATGATGATGGTGGTGGTGATGGTGATGATGATGATGATGATGATGGTGGTGGTGATGATGATGATGATGATGATGATGATGATGATGATGATGAAATTAGAAGACATCAGTTTTTATAGCATTTTAATTTTTCACAAATTCACCAGCTACTGCATGGATAATGTTAAAACTTAATCCAAACTTATAAAACACATGTGCTCATACTCAGACACTTCCTCATGTCAGTCTGCACTCGTCTGCAGCGGCTGTGGTTCCTTATTCTGATGAAACAATTATTAAAAAGGTGGTTTGATTAACAGCTTTGTGCTCCATTATAAAAAGAAATAGCAGCTGTTGTAAAACATTAGGAAGACAAAATTCAAAGCACAGTGACAAAAAGTCTTGAAGTGTTGAACTGGTTTGGATTTGATCGCAAAAGTTTAACTGATAAACATATTTAGTGACTGATTCAATAGAAATACCATGAAGGGSTCTGAGTGGACGTTTACGTCATTATAACTGATGATATCTGAGATTTTCCTCAGGGATTCATCATATGGATCAAACTAAGGCAGCGGGGCAAACGGTTTAATCACAGCCAGGGGCAGAACTAGACGTTTTTGCAGGGGGTGGCCAAGGTCATTTTTAGAGGGATACATACAAATAAAAGACTGGACCTAAAAATTCAAGATGGCCGCCACAGATAATTCCTAATAGCTGTAATTCATCTGTTTTAAAGGGCTCGACACACGGTAGGCGACATCGCTCGCTCTCCATTCATTTCCTGTGGAGCCTGTGCGGTGAGGCGACGTCGCTCACCCTCCTCCAGCTAAGCGACCGGTGAAAATAGTGCATGTGAAATTTCGCGCTCGTACACGTAGACGTGCACACGCGAGCTTGCGACGCGACATATGAAAGTTGAAAAATGTTCAACTTTTGTCGCTGTCGCTTAGCGTACAACCAATCRGCGAGGGTTTCATTGACTGACCAATGAGAGGAGAGTATGCTACACACTGCCGTTAGCTAACACTTTCACCAAGTGATTACTAAAAAGCTTTGTGGGAATTTATTGGCACCAGGGTGAAGTTTATGGTAAGTTTTTCCTCATAAAACTGTATCTTGATGTGTGTTTGTTTTTCAATATCATTAGCATCGCAAGATTTGTTTAGTTTACACGTCCGTAACGCACACCCGCCTTCAGAGTCAAGAACCAATCAGATTTCGTGAAGACAAGCGACCTGAGAGCGCGATTCGCAACGCTGCGATCGCTATCGCGTCCCGTGTGTCGGGTTTCACCCTGGCTGCGATGACAGCCGTTAATCGCTGTAGTTTGTCGCTGCCCGTGTGTCGAGCCCTTTAGATGTTTAAAGCTGGTGAAAACAGTTTGACTACATTTCTCTGAACATATCAATAGATTTATCTTCAATCATATCATAAACCAAAAGTTTATTCAACTTGTGAAAACGTTACATCGTTGGTGTTTGACCCAGCAGCCCCCTCACCTCGGTGTTACCAGATATTTTTACGTCACTTGATGAGTAGACGTCTGTATAAAAGCAGACATCTGAAGAGTTGATGAGTCTTTTCAAGCGTTTCGGTGTGGTTTTCCCGCCTCGGCGTGCGGCTCCACCACGCMGGGCCGTTTCAGGCTCCACTGGTCCGAGCGTCCCCCCCTCCCGTCCTGCTGCTCCAGCTCCGGTTCGCTGGACGAGCTGCTGCAGAACGCGAAGCAGTCCCTCTGCTCCCCTCCCCTCTCCTCCTTGTACCTCCCTTTAACCGCCGTCGCTCCGTCGGGCCTGTCCATGTCCACCATCTGCAGGTGGATTTGGGTTTGCTCGGGTCCGGGCACCGCTTCCTTCCGGTCCAGGTCCATCCAGATTGGAGGYTCCAGAGGCGTGTAGTGGAGCACGGGCTGCTGGAGCTGTGGCTCAGGCTGAGGCTGGAGGAACTGGGTTTGGTGCTGGAGGTGATGTAACGGCTGCAGAGGGTGCTGCTGCTGCTGCTGCTGCTGCTGCTGCTGATGCTGATGATGATGGTACTGATCAACAATCTGCTTGTCTGCATGAGGCAGAGCCTCCCGACGCTGGTTTTTCAGGAACTTTTCAAACTTCTTGGAGGCTTTTTTATTCGTGACAAACCAGTCCTTTAAAAACACAAACAGGGAGGAGAAACGCTGACTGCAGCAACACAGTAATATCTGATCAGAAATCACCATGATGTGGTGGTTTTGTGTTACCTGTGAATGGACCGAGTTGATGTGATACTTTACTCCACTTTCAGAGTTAAACTCCTTGTTACAGATCAGACATCTGTATTTTCCAGCCTCAAATTCACCCTGAACAAGAAAAACAAACCTTTGAATGATTATTTACCTCAGGGATATTTCATGTTGATTAAAGGGATCCACGATTAGTTGTAACATTAGACTTTATGTTATAAACATTTATTTTAACTGTAAAATAAAGACTGTAAAAATACTGTAGGATGTT